GCTGATTGCTGTGGAGTGCCAGCCTGGCCTGATACATAATGCGTGTTAAACAAACGGGAGCCGAGTCCATAACCCTGCACTTGCACAGCAGCCTGCAGACTGAAGCCAGAGCAGAGCCTCACCTGAGCAGTCGGAGCTGGTCGTGGGGTCTCAGCTGGAGCAATGTGTGCCCCCTGCCATGCACTTCTGGCCTTCCTCTCTGGCCGGCCTGAGTCACTGCACTGGGGCTTGGACGATCAGCCAACATTACCCTTTGTCTCAGTTACTTTTCTCTCATTGCTGGGACAAAATACCTGGCACCCAGAATTAAGGAAGGAGAAGTTCACTTAGCTTCCAGTTTGTGGAGGTTTCAGTCCATACTTGGCTAGTTCTAAGGCAGAGTGGCACATGGCAGAGGGCAGCAGTGTGTGGCAGCAGAAAATAGCAAAACAGCAAGAGCAAAAACAGGAGCAGCAGCAGCAGCAGCAGCAGCAGCAGCAGCAGCAGCAGCAGCAGCAGCAGCAGCGAGCAAGCCTCTCTCCCTTCTAACACCGCATTCAGGCTATCCACCCCGGGGAGTGTCTAGCACTTACACCCGTAATCCAAGCCTTGGTTTATGAATTAATCACAACCTCTAGAAAGTCCGCCCTATGACTGCATGAGGCTTTGGGGGGGCAACTAGATACAAACCCTAACATCCTTGTCCCCTGAACGATGTAGGATATGCTCTTGTTCACATTGTTCCCTCTCTTTAGAACTGTAGGAACCAGGATTTCCCCCCATTGACAAGGGAATAAGTCAGCCTAGTGCTGTTTCATTGGTGCCTGTACTAACACGGGGTTCCCAAGTCAGACACAAAACAACACGAGCATTGTAGTGATGCCCGTTCGTTCCCCTGTCTTCAACCCTCACAGGATGACATGAAGAGGCCCAGAGGGACACTGCACATGCACTGGGACCTGGCTGAAAGCCCTGAATACGAGGGTGCCACTGCTGCTCCCACCACCACTGCTCCTATTGTAAGCAGCCCTGGTCTCCGCAGGAAGACCTCCCCTTATCTCTGAAGGTTGCTGGTTGCAGACACGACCCTGAGTTACGATTGGGTAAAGAGCCATCACAGCCTCGCGTCCTTGGTATGCCCAGAAACGGCACTGGGGGTCGCTGTTCCCAGCAGCAGCTGTCTCCAGTGTCTGCTTGTCCTTATTCTATGCACCCGCAGATGACGCCTGTGTTTGATGACTTCCCCAGTCCTTCCCTCACAGTGCTGTCTCCTTCCTTTCTCTTGGTTTCCTTGTAGCCATCATCAGTGGCTCTTTGTTGCCCACAGCAGTCCCTCCACTTCTGCAGCGCGCCCACACACAAACCGGGGTTTCTAGGTTTCTGCTTGCCGCACCTGCTCGTTTGCAACTGGCAGCTGCTTAGACCAGATTTGTTGAGTTGGACATAATCAAGATCTTCCTGCATGTTTGTGCTTTTCCAGAGTCTGATCCACGGCCCTTCGAATGGTTCCAGGATTCCAGAGGCTAAAAATAACGTCCCAAAGTCGCTACAGACATCTTCCTTGTAAGGAGCGACTTGGTTTCTGAAACTGAAAGTTTATGCCCACCAGGTGGCGCCCTGACCCTCACTCGGCCTGCTGCCTTTTTTTTTAGAAATGGAAAGGATTGTCTTAATGTTTGTTCCCTTAGGTCTCCTGCTCACGGAAATCCTGTCATCACCAGCTAGTAGTGGTGATGTATGCCTGTAGTCCCAGCACTGGGGAGGCTGAGACAGGTGGGTTGCCACAAGTTCCAGGACAGCCTGGGCTGCACAATGAATTCAAGGCCAGTGGGGCCCTGTCTCAAACAAACAACTCTTGTCATCAGTCCAGTACTCAACTGCAGTCCCTGGCTGCCCATCCGACCCTCAGCTCTAGGGAAAATCAGCATCCAGAGGAGAATGAGAATGTCCCTCAAGACTGAATAGGGGATGCTGAAGGAAAAGCCCTGAAATGGGGATCCAAAGGCCTAGTACAAGTCCCAACCCCACACTTACTATCAGGTTAATCCGGGTTCCACTGCTGACTGTACACCTGACACAACAGCCCAAAGGGGGAGAGGCTTATTTGGCTCCCAGGGTCAGAAGTTTCAACCTGTGGTCAACTAGCTGAAAGGCAGAAACATCCTGGGGGGGCAGGGCTGGGGTAGGGTGGTGGGGTGGGGGAGATGTGATGGCGGAAAGGCGCCCCCCATGGCAGCTGGGAAGCAGAGCCAGAGAGGAAAGAGCCATGGCCAGCGGCACCCCCACCCCACGCCCCCTAGACCCACCCGGAAGTGTTTCTCAAGCCAATCCAGTTGATAATCAAGATTAACCACCGCAAAAGTTGAATACCTTTAGGTGAGAATTTTAACCTTTCTAGGTTTGTGTAAGAAAAACACCTAAAAGAGCTTGGAAGAAGGCAGGTGCGGTGTCAGTCTCCCTGGGCTCCTGCATCAACAGTCCCTAGCAAGTCTGGGCACACGGTCGGTTCCCCCAAGCCTGTACGCCTTGCTTTCCCTATTGGTGAATCAGGGCTAATAACAAATACTTTATAGAGCCAGTGTAAACACCAAGTAGAACTACGAATATAGAGTGCTTTTTACAGTGCCTAGTATACAGTAGGCACTCAGTGAATAGAAATCCCATATATATTTTGTATTTTTAGTCCCTAAAATGGTCCCATGGACTTGGTAAATGCTCAGTCTCAATATCTATTTGTTGAACTAAAAAAAATTACAGATGAAGAAACTGAGGCTCGAAGAGGTTAAGTTGCCCTTCCCTCCGGGTCCTGGCAGGAGCAGGCAAGCCACGGTGTACAGCCAAACAGTCTGACTGCAGAGCTTGTATCATGCCGTGCTACCTTACACAGATGTGGGGTTAGACATCACCGTTTGCTCATTAGAATAGACATTCAGAGCTGTCTCAAGCCCAGGCCAGGGGCTGGTGCATTCATCTTAGTGGCCGGGAGATGGACTAGCTCTGCAGTGTAGGTCAGCCGCAGCCCCAGTGCAGGAATGGTCCCTGGGGTGCGAGGGGGTCCTCCCAGTTTACTGGTGTTCCTGCAGCCACTCAGACATCTACTGAACTTATATTCGTGGAGCACAGGGGAGGTGTTTGCTGTATACCTGGTCCAGGCAAAGATGGCTTAGGCACAATAACAGATGATTACCATGTAGCAGTCTCAGAACTGCAGCAGGCTGGTCCAAAAGGAGGGCCCAGGGACATAGCTTAGTGGTCTCAGTGCCTGCCTGGCAAGTGCAGGGACCTGAGTTTGATAGCTTGTACTGCATACTGAGCCAGCTACCAAGACTGGGCATGGTGGCACATGCCTGTAATCCCAGTACTGGGGAGGCTGAGACAGGAGCTCCATAGCAAGACCTTGTACCAAATCAATCAGTCAATCAATCAATCAATCAATCAATCCAAAGGAGGCCTAGGCAAGCAAGTAATCAAAAGCTGGAGGTTGGGGGGGAGTGTGCTGGCAGCATTTAACCAGGACACTGAAGGAGAAGCAGTTTTCCAGACTATTTGGGTCTAGGAATGATGTGTGTTCTGAGCTTATTTGGAGAATTTAAGAGGATTGGTGGGTTGGCATCTGTAAAGAAAAGAAATGGAAATGGAATGCAATGAAGGAAGTGGAAAACTGGGTAGTTGGAAGTTGGTTGGGGACAGATTGTGAAATATGCCACCTGGAAGAGACCAAACTCTATCTGTGGTCAGTGAGGAAAGCTGTGTAATGAACGCCTCAATCTGTTTCAGAAGGTTGTGGAAGCTCACAAAGGTTGGATCTGCCCAACTCAGCACGGGGAAGGCCAAGGTAGGAGGATCACTATGAGTTTAGGCCATCGTGGACTAAATAAAAGACGCTGTCTCAAACGAAACAGAAGAGAAGAGAAGACTGGATCAGAAGGGATGACAAGCGACACCAATAACCACTAGTTCCAGGAAACCCAGCCCGTCCAGACTTGGTTTGCTGTTGCAACTTTGAGAGAAATAACTTCCTATCGCTTGGGCTGTCCTGAGGCTGAAGGGGGACCGCACAGAGCCCAGTGCAGGTACTAATAATCGAAGTTACAGCCCTGAACTCATCATCACAGGCCGCTTGGCAGATGAATTAAACGCGCGGGCCTTGTTATTTCTGGAGCTGGGATTGTGTCCCAGCCATGATAATTGGCACGTTTTTAATGTAGGCAAGACAAGAAGATGGCCAACATGGGGCTGGATAAAAGGGTGGGCTTGTCATGTTTTGTGTCCTGTGGGTGGGGCAGTGGAGCTTCCGGTGACTCACTGTCCTTTAGTCAGACTGGGATCTCGGTGGTGAATCTGAAAGTCTGAACCCGCAGTAGGACTGGAAGAGCTTGTGGAGAGCACTCGACTGGGGCAAAGACGGAGAAAGGAGAAAGAAGGGGGCCCAGCCAGGGGCTGGGAGAGCGCGCACGCAGCGGGCCTCCCTCTCGAAGCCAGGCCTCGTAGGAGCGGACCCAGA